CATAACAGCTCTGTCTCTCACGCAGACTCCGGTGAAACCAGAACCCAGGCCCGAACCAGTCATCAGTACATTCTGTGTGTTGTGCGAAATAAACTTGTTAAACTTTTCATCCCTGTGTCCGTCAGTGGTGTTCTGCATTATTGGGTCTCCATTAGAGAACCCATCATGACATTAGATACATTTTTTTATTAAAAATTAACAGTTAGTAATACTGTTTCTATTTAACGCCTGTACACCAAACTCTGATTCCTAGTGTTTATGAGCACATTATTCTGGTTCCTCTCAGAAGAAAGTTTAAAACTCAACTCAACAAAGTGCATTTTATCATGCATGCCTACCAAATCTACCTTGTAATTACACCTTCTATCTCAGGAAAATGTTTTTGTATGCTATCTTGTGGAACTTTACTTCTATCCTTATACATTATTTGTGAGGTTTAAAATTCTACCAGATCAGAGAATTTATGCACGTAAGAGTGACAGAACAATGGATTAGCTTGGCTTTTAAAGCCAGCCTAATGATTTACACTGATGGCTCTTCTGCAGCACGCATAGCGGTTTGAATGATGTCCTGTAGCTGTTACCCCATACTTTTATACAGTGAGACTTTTAAAGCTTCATAATATTAAAAATGTTTTTGTTTGACTAGGAATTGTGATTCTTCTAGATACAGTGGTTTAATATGAACATATTTAATGTGAGGTTTCCAGCAGATGTTGTAGTCAATAATCACACATATTTCAAGTATTTTATGCTATCCACTTGTTTCACCTTTACCCCATTTATTATGACTTTCCCATTAATATTTCCTAGATAATGTTAAAATAATGAATTTAGTTTTATATAAATTTAAGGTTTTTTGTCAAAACCTTTTTTTGTGTCATTTTTTGCTTTGGGTAAGAATGGCCTAGTAGTTAGAGCAGTGAGATTGTGCACAGTTGTGAGTACCCAGTTTAATCCCCACCGCCTGCAGTCTGGGTCCCTGAGCAAGACCCTTAACCCCACACTGCTCCCCAGGCGCCTCACAGTGGCAGCTCACTGCCCCCCAAGTGGATGGGTAAAATGAAGAGCTAAGTTTCTCCAGTGCGAGATCAATAAAGTTAAATTCAAATTGTTATTTATTATTTTGTAAATATGTGTATCGTCTGCAAACAAAATAAGCTCTAATACTTTTAAAACTTAAATCCGTTATTTTTGTAGAACATAAACCCTTTTGATCAAAGTAATCAACCTTAAGGGACACCACATGCAGTGCTCAAGCTCGACGGGTGATATTAATCCATTTTCACAAACTATTCCCTGCTACCTTAAATGCTCTCCATCCACTCCAGAACCCTCCACCCAACCTGCACAGAAAAAAAAAAAAAAAATCCTGATCAATATATTTTGATGAGTTGTGTCAAATGCTTTTTTTTTAGATCAAGAAATAAACCGATTTGAAATTTTTTTTTAGCTCATGCTGAAGCACAGAAAGAAACAACATTATTTAAAAAATGTTTAAATTTGTATGGTAGTTTTATCATATATATGAATAAGAATTTAATTAGATTCCACAATTTATTTACTCAAACTTATAAACTAGATGCACTTCTAGATGTAGGATATTGTACTTTATAGCCCCATAAGGAATCACAGTGTTTTTAACTCCCTCAGTGTCTCATGTCTGCTAATTTTCAATGCTAAATGCAGCACTACTCTCTAGATTACTCTTTATAGCTTACTGCTATAAATAACCATTAACTGCACTTACACTGCAATTTAAAGCTGTCTACAAAAACAAACACTATACCTTCCAAAGCCATAAAAGAAACACACCACAGAATTCTTTATACATACTTAGAAATGCAAGGTAGACCATTTGTGTTACATTAAGTGTGCCGGTAGAGCCTGTTGTAGTCTTGTTGTAGTCTTCTAAAATAAAAACCAAAACTTATTCTTATATCAACTTCTCCTTAGATATTTCCATATCAAGGTCACGATCTTTAAAACAATTGTGCGTATATCATGTGCCAACTTGATACAATGCACAAAGATGATTTACAAACTTGGTGCAAATCGAACAGTACATTTAAAATTGTGGAAGGCAGACAAAAACTTAAATCACAGTTGCCTTGAGAAATATTCATATAATATTCTGATGATCAAAATTCTGAAATTACTGGAAGGAGAATATGTAAATCCATTACCTTACCACCTCCAAAGCAATTCATCAAACCCTAAATAGTGTGCCCGACAAAGTTCAGTTATTTTCATAGTTAACTGAGCATCATTCTTATCCACTGAGTATGGCATGCTGCCATTACATGGAGCAAGTCAAGTTCAGTCATTTCAAACCCCCTTAAGCAGCATTGCACTGCTGCCCTGAAAGTTTGTGCAATTTATAAAACTGTTATTTCAGCTACTCCAGTCACTGCCAAGTCTTAAATGAATTAACCTAAAAATGCCCACATCAGAATAATAATTTTGCTGTTGGAACTGGAGTGCAGCATTATGGAAAATTCAATCTACAGTATGACTTTGATAATTATAAAATTTGAATGACTGCACAAGTTAAATGGATTATGAGGGAATTCCTAAAAAGGCTTGCAGCCATTGTAACCTTTGGTGGCCGAGGGGGTAAAAATGCCTTGGAAATAAACAAATGGAAAGACATTTCAATAACTACTGCAAATACAAAGCCCAGGCCTGGAAACACAAGCTGTAGACTCAAGAACTCAACAAATAAATGAACGCACCAAAGCACTACAAATGCAAAGGATAAATTCTGCAATCACAGAAAAGAGAGAAGTGAATAACAAATGTTCTGCAAACACAAAACCCACTGCAAACACATAATATAAATGATTAAAACACACAAAACACATGCAAATGGAAAATGCTGCAAAGAAAAAGGAGGAGGAGAAGATAAGCACCCTTTGTTCATTGTATGATCCAACATATGATAAGAATTATATATTGGTCAGCTTACTTAATGTTGATTCTATGGTTGCAGAAAGATGTTTGATGAGCAGTACCAGTTCTTACATGTGTGCACAGGGGAACCCTGCCTTTTGTTCCAAAAAGGAAAAAGTCTGTGTTTATGTTTAAAAAAAATAAAAGGATAATCTCCCACTTTGACTTAATGGTGCTAAAGATCACAGAATATTGAAGAAACCTTTGTGTTTTGGACTGAAACCGGAACTTAAAGAGTGACATAACATTTCTTAAGGAATTGCCCTACTAACTTGATAGAAAAAAGGGTTTGCAGCAAAAAAAGGACAGAAAAATTAATGTTTATTTGCTTTTATTTTCAGTGGCTTAGATTTGTGTCATCTGTCTTCAAATGTGTCTCTAAAACAAAATGAACAACAGGAAAATGGATTGATTATATTACACCAGTTCCTAAATCTCAGCACCAGCTCTGTGTTTCAAACGACATGGCTATAGCTGAGGAGCCATATTTCCTCTGATCTTTTTCCAAGTAACACTTTAATTTACAGGGCAAAAAAAATAAACAAAACAAAACACACACACAAACAGCCTAACTTTATTTGCACTCAAAAAACAAGATGGGAAAAGTCTCCAGAAAACAAGCAAACTGGGTGGGTCTGTGTGTGGGAGTGCAAATCAATTTCCCCCTATCATAAAGTTTCATTATAAGACACAGAGCAGCAGGGTTTGTTCTGGTAATTTGACTTGGAAACATTAAAAAAGAACAACTTGTTTGTTTATTCAACGTTTTCCCTCCACTCCGCTCCTCATAAACCCTCTGACATGTTTCCTGTTGAAGCTGCAGCAGTGTGCGTGACCAGGGATACATAAAGCTTGAGGACTGTTCTCGCCCCTAGATGTGGAGCCACTCCACTCCGCGTTTTGCCCTGCCCTTGTGCGCTCTGCTCGCTGTGCAGCGCGCGTCTCCCATGCATATTGCCTCCCTCTCGCTGTCATAAAGACAGGACAGCTGTACAAGAGAGAAGTTGTTGGCACATCGAGCACCAGCAGGTTGCATCCTCACCAGGATCGTGTCGCTTTACGGAGTAGTCTGGACTTCTTTTCTCTTCTCTGTCGGAAAATGTGGCGGACGCATCAGTATCTTAAGTGAGGAGTTATCTTATTTGCAAATCAGCACCTGACACCGTGCTCTTTTCTTAAAAAAAAAATAAATAAATCTCCAAATAAAGCCTTTGGATCTCTCTAATTCCAACGGAGCTCGTATTTCTCAACCAAACGTTTTTTATTAATAGGATTTCACTGATGTGTGCGATGTGGAGACTGCGGGTCATCTTATGTACTCTGTCGGTGCTGTCCCTGTCATCTGCTGGAGAAAGCAAAGCGCGGAGCTGTAGCGAGGTTAGACAAGCTTACAGCGCCAAAGGATTCAGCCTCCTCCATGCGCCTCATCAGGAGATATCAGGTAGGCGACACTGACACATCATCATGTCTCCCCCTCATATTCAACTATTTGATTATCTTATTTCTCACACCTCTGTGCATTTCAACTATTATCCTTCTTTAACTTAAACAGAGAAGTATGAGTTTATTGGACCGGGGTCCTATTGGCATTAGACATTGCTGCAAAATGTCACAAACAAATAACACAATCATCCCATTTAGAATTCATTATGCGCTCAGTTTTCTTTTAAATCCTTCATTCATTTACCATCAATCTGACGTGTAGAAAATGTATAAAGTATTTAGAAAAGAACTGATGTGATCAGAATACTTTCTTAAATAATATAAATATAATCTGCAGAGAAAAATAGATAATAATACTCAGCATTAGTTTAATTTTTAGATGAATATAAAACTATGTATAACTTGTTATATTTTAGAAACATAAATCATTTAACAAAAAGGCACAGATTTAACTTTTCCAGTATTGAGTCATAAGTAATACCATTCCCATAATCCGATGTATTCTCTCAGTTAATCTAACAGTAACCATGTATTACAGCATTACATGTTTATTATTATTTTTAACAGGGGTTCTGCAGAGGGGAACAGTAAAAACTGGCTTTTCTATTGAGAAGTGGCAGCATACCTGTTGCTCACATTCAACAGAATATCATGAAACTCCTTTTGCTGGATTTGGATTAATGGAGAATAATTTTTGCCAGCAGGGGGCTGTATGTCCTCAACCTCAATTACTTTATGTTTTCGCTTATTTGTGGGAGAATTTGCTTTTATTTTGATATCCCTTGAGGATCAGGTTTTATCTCATGCTCTATAAAAATAAGGAGGAGTTTTTTATTCTCTCCTGCTTGGCAGCAATTATATTTAAGGTCATAGTAAGAAAGGGTGCCTGTACAAATTCTGGGTCATGGCAAACCCAAAACATGCTTAAGTCCAAGAGAAGCCTGTTTTGTGGTTTGCAAGAAAAGATATAGTCTCTCACAATTTTTGAGAGGCTGTTTGAGGGAAGATGAGAGGATTAAATCTAATCTAATTGCCGCTCACATGAAAAATAGGGATGCTGCTGGTAATTACCAGCGTCTGACAGTGATCATAAACCTCTAACCACAGTCAGACTGGCTTGATTGTGATAGGAATTTAGTTTCCTGCGAGTGTACCAATTATAAGAATTCATAATGTTAGGAATGAAAATAAAAGTTCATAATTATTAATAAGATAAAGAAGCAAAATAAATATTCACAATTAAACCACATAAGAAAAAGAAAATACTAAATGTTTGCATTGTTATTCAATTTGCTTGAGCATCTTAATTAGAACTTCTATTTATCTTTTTTTTGTATTTTTATAAACAATAACTAAAATAAACAACCAATGTGATGAATGGATTTAATGTGTAGATTTTTTTCATGATGTAGCTGGAAAGTATGTAAAGGAAGACAACTTCTTTTCATGTTTTGCTTTCTTGGACTCTTTCTTTCAGTCGGATGTGCTTGACTTCATAAGAGTTTATATAAATGTTTTGATAACGACTTTTGAAAAGTTGTCATAGTCTAGTTCCAACAGAATCCAGAAATGTGAAAAGTATTACTCCGCATGCTATTTGACACAACAGTAATGTCGTTTCCAAGCGTTTTATCCCTTGGTGAATATCTGGTATGCATTAAAAAATCGAATTCAGTCCTCTTTCATTTCCTTCATGCGTTGTGATGCAGAACTTTGACTTTTATGCAGCTGCTATTGTTTAGTTTGACAGCCCTTAAAGGAGTGAATTTTATCCATTGTTTCCAGGATTCTACCTCACATTTGCCTGCCGGCAGTATCCATACAAGACCTAGTGACTTAATTCAAGAAGAATTTTAGACTATGCCAGCTATTTCTTTTTCTTTGTAAGTTGTTGTAAAACTCTAAGACTTTTTTAATATTTTATTGTGCAAACCTTTGAATATCAATTAATTGTGCTTGGTATTCCTCATCTGCTTGGAATGTCAGCAGATTCAGTCTGTTAGCTAAATTCAGGCTCAAGATGAAAAGGTTTTGGTGACCAAATTGCTTTTGTGTTTTCTGTTTTGGAGATAGATATCTATTTACATTTTGTTGGTTAAAAATAATTTAGTGACTTTCATTTTAGGGGATTATTTAGCCCAGGCTATGCCTTACAGGAAACAAGCACAAATAACAATTAGTTTCCTTTAAAACATATAAGTAGATATAATTGATTTCAATATTTACGAAAAGTATTTACTAAAATATTTAACTTTTTTATTTCTGTTCAGCAAATTTTTAACACAGTTAGTCATTGTTGCAGTTACCTTCAAAAACTTTGAATGGCTCTCCCTGGAGAACGGTACCGAAGCATTCAAAATACTAACAAAGGATTCGAGCAGGAATGTTGCATTAGTCAGCCCTGATTGCAGCATATCTGTTCATTAGTCATGGAGATGATGTTACTTTGAAAGACTTTGAGTTTGAAAAGAGGTCAGCATCTTTACTGATAGTGGAGTGGTCAGATAGATGATGTTTTGGCCGATATAACCATCTTTTTCCTGCAATGGTATCAACAGATAAGAGACAGTGTTTCATTCTGCAGCCATGCCTTGGGATCACGTAAGCCACATGAATTTACACTTCCACAGTTTGCTAGCTTTCTTTGATTTGTTATTATTAAAAAAAATCCAGATTTGTGTTGCATTTGTTATCATTATGTAATTTTTCTTATGTAAATGAGGAGGGAAAAGCAATATTGGCTTAAAGAATTCTCTCCAAAGAAATCAGCAGAACATATCATGGATGGGTTGGACTGATATAAAAAAAAATGACATTGGCCTTAAAAAAAAAACTGTATCGGTTGATCTCTAGGTCATAGTTGTCCTAGATAAAATTGTTCCCATTTCAAAGGCTGAGGACAAAAATTGTCCTTAAATGTTTGGATTTTTGATCATTTGAATTTCCCCTTATTAAACTAAAAATCAAATAATCTGCAAAACATGTTAAATTCTAATCCCATCATCTTCCCACAATAAACTAGCCAATTCCAAGATATTCCACGTGCATTATTTTAATCATAAAAAAACGTGATATACAGCCATTGAGTGTTAACCTTAAGAAACTGACTTTGAGTAAGCTTTTTTTTTCAAGTGTTATAACAATTATTTATCAGTACCTTTAAGTAAAATCTAACAAAATGCAGTAGAAAACTTTGAGCAGTATTTATGCAGGTAGTGGCTGGAGGCATCCGGTGTGTCTGTTGCAATGAAAATGTCTCACCAGATCCCAATTACTATTTTGGGGCTCATGATTGACTATGGAGCCGGTTTCATCCGCACATGAACTGAGTAATTATATATCTTCCCATTCTTTCCGACTTTGCTTCTCCATTGTCTAACACCCTCAGGTGCTCATGTTGGTGTCTCTTTTAGCTGAAGTCTTAGTAAGTGCTTTAGCTTTTTTTCTCTACTGACTACAGATAGTGACAGCCCAGTAATTTTAGTGTTAGTTTTCAGACTGCAAAAGCTCTCTGAAAGAAAGGTGAGGATTAAACTGCACTGCTGAAATACAGCAGACTCTACTCCCACCCTTAAAAAAAGAAAAAAACTCAAAGAAAACATTTATAAAACCCCCTCTTGGACAAGTTTATTGCAATCGACCAGGTGTTTAACTTTCAGTGCTGCTGATGTACCCCCAGCAGGAGCGGCATGTCACAGAGCGGCTCGCCTGCGTGGATCACCCCCTGCCACCCTTATGCCTGTGTTTGGGACATTAGTTTCATTGTCACGCACACAATACAGTGTGATTGTCAGCTCTTTGTTCAGAAACACAGCTGCCTCTGAATGCTTCAGTCAGGCTCCTACCATGACGCTCCTTCTCTGAGGCTTTGCTGTTAATATCAACATCTACTTACTCTCAGAGCAGCTGGGAGCCTCATGGGTGGACTCGACTCTTTTCTACAGCCTTCAAATAAAATGGCTTGATGTGCTTCTGCTTCTAATAGTGTGTTGCCTGAGTTTTATATTTCCCTCCTCAAGAATAACAACTACCTTTGGGGTTCATTCCAGAGCAGCCTTATTTGATTTCTCTCATCAGAACAGTTTTTAGTTTCTGGACAATACAGCAATTTTTTTTCTCATGTGAATCCCTGTTGTCTCAGTGAGGCTCATTTGCTGGTCTGCAGATTGCTGTCGATACCAATGTTAGACGTCTCTTGAATGCTCTGCATTAAGCATAACGTAAACAGTTAAAGTGTGAGGTCTCTAAATTTCTGTACTCATTAGCACACTGCAATAAAAAAGATTTCAGTTTGTGTTTTCATGAATTATATCGATCAAGATAAAATAAAAGTAAGTGCAAGTATAATTAATCCACACTGCCACACTTCTACTGCCCATATTTAAAACACAATGATGTATTTCTCCTTTACATATCATGTTTGACAAGTTTCCATAACAATTTAGTTACAAATCCAGATGTAATCACTAAATAAAAGTGAGCTTTAGTGAGCCTAAAAATTACCCTACCCTGTAAATGTCCATATGAAACTTCCAACAGGCGTTCTTCCTTTTCTTCATAGCTCATTAGGATGCTCTTGGCTTTGCCAAATTGGAGGCAAGTCTCTCGGCAGCCTGTATACATCTTCAGAGAGAACAGTTAATAAGATGTGAGGGAGATTAGGTTTTCTGCGAGTGTGAATGTGTGCCTGTGTGTGCCTGTCTCTTTGGTGGTTTAGCTTCACTTTGCAAGCCCTTCCTTTTTTTTTTTTTTCTTTGCATTGCTGTAGTGATGGAAAATGACAAAAGCACTTTGTTTTTTTATTGCAAGAGACAGATTATGTGCATGGCACATCCAAATTAGTTTTAATGGGAATCCTCCTGTGGTTCTCTCCAGATTTCGTTGAAAGAGAATGTCTGACAGTTGTCCTAGGCTGAGGCATTTGTTTACCCTCTCCAGGCATTTATCCCTCAATTGCAGGGTCTCCAGGCATCCCTGAACCCTCCCCGGCACCATGTA